AAGACCTCCATCGGATGCATAGAATGCCAAAAGCACGCTAGCCAGCTCAAAAGCACTCTTGGTTGTGTCTGTAGCCAGAAAGACAGGAACATCCACACACGCAGAGATGAGCTCCCCATCTTATTTTACAGGTCAGTCCTAATTACTGCCAGCCTTCTGTGTTTCTGTTGTTACATCCTGATGTTCCATCCATTTGAAGGCGTGTGCCAAGTCAGAGAGACTGCTGGTTTCAAACACCTGTGTCTCGGCAGGTTTGGGTATTCAAATAATAGTAACACAAAGAACTGCCCTGAAGGACTTTCAGTGATGCAGTTGATGCCATGAGCAGCATATTCCTAAGATGCTATTGTATTGCTGTAGCTTTAAATATGTTAATTGCTTTAGAGGAAAAAATGAGTTCCTGTATGGAAGACATGTTTAACGTTTTTTAAAAAGTAGCCATGTAAGTGCTTTGTTAATTTTTCCTTCTTTCTGCATTAAACACATTGCACATTGCACTATGTTGAATATAACATAGTAATCAGGTACAGGGTTTTCACTGTACCAAACTTGTATTTGCACACACTCTGCAGAGGTAGAACTAAGGTGGATAGAAATCTTGCTGTAAATGAGATAAGATATTTGTACAACAACCAAATCAAGTGTGGTTCTCTCAACAGCCGGTACTGCTGGACATGGCAGCTATGGGCAGCAACACTGAGCAGTAGTGCTGCCATGCATATTTGATGCAAAAGCTGGTCTGTTTTACCATCTCAGAGTCAGTAATCATCAAAGAAGATGGTTGATCTTAAGGCTTTCTAAGGTGTTTGATTGATTTCAAATTGGTTTCAGAGGTGCATTGCTATTTTGTTCTGTCCTATCATTGAATAGGCTCTTCTTGTAGTGAAATAAAGCCACTTGAGAAAATTGCACGCGTTGGAGTTTGTGGGTTTTTCTTTGTTCATGAGTGGGGTTTAGAAAGCTTTAAGTAGTGAGAGGAATCATGGAGACTGAGGCAGATTCCAGTACCCAAGGTTAAGTCCAGAGACCTCCATTGAAACCCCTGGAGTTACTCCAACTGCGTACACACTTATTTTGGATGTAGCAGAGTTCAAAACCATTTCCATGTTTTTAATGCAAGCTTCCTTCTGCAGCACTGCTAACCCCACATAATTCATTCAAAGAGTCCTGCCACTAGCACTGAGCTGCTTTGGATTTTGAGAGATGTGCCATCTTCCAAGCTCTCTGCATATACAGAAACCCAAGTAAGCACAAATTCACTCTGTGTTGGGTACCCTGGTATCCTGACACACATTTATCCTAAGAGAAATGCTTTTATTGAATATTCCTGGCAAGCTTGGGGGAAAGTGGGGGACCCCTGGCACTTCACAGAGTAAAGTGCAAGCCTAGTCCAGTCACTTGGGAAGGGTGCCAGTGGGACAGGGGGAAGAGGGGAAGAGGCAGAAATCACTGCTCGCCCCCAAACCATAGCAGCATCATGCCAGTGCAGCACCTACATCCTCCATAGCTTAGTCACAACACCTTTTTTGTGTTCAAAGAGATTTTCAAACTATCTAGAAGCACATGCTGTGAAAGCAGTTTAGGACCAGGCAAGCCAGGGCCTAGGACAGTTTGCACTGAAAATGTTTTGAAGGGGAGGGAGGGACTGTTTGCTCAAAGAAGTTTTGGGGATATTAAATCTAGCACTGTGAAGCAAGGATCAGATACAATCACTGAAATGGCCAGGAAAGCATTCCTTTTAGCTCACCAGCCTAATGCAGAGGTGAGGAAGGAAGAGCAGGAGAGAAACCATACCAAATGCCCTGCTTTCTGAAGAAAGGAAGCACTTCAAGGCTCCTCTCCCAATGACGGTTGCTAAAATGTCTGCGCAGTCCATAGTTGTCATCATTAGCCACACCGCAGCCCTCCTAACTGGGAGACATTTTAAACATGGGAAATCTGCGGTGCAGAGATTAATCGGTACACCTCTGGGACAACAACGGGAGCTGGCACTGGGAATTCCTGGTTGATTGCCCTCCGCTCTAGTTGTCTGTCTCCCTGGGGCTTTCCTCTCTTGCCATTTGAAAGGGGCCCAAGCAAAGCTGCAGAAACGTGGCTAAAGCAGACGGCCCCGAAGCCTGGTTCTGAGTGACAGCAGAGCGAACCTCTGCGGACGTGACCACGGCATGAAAGGAAGTGGTCAATGTTGCCAAACCAGTTATGAGATCAAATTAAATGGAGTGCAAGGCCTGAAAGAAGACCTTGTATTTGGTCATCCAAATCCAGTAGAATAACTTTATCTTAAAATGTTAGCAGGCGGGGTTGTGTAAGCAAATGTATTTGATGCCATTTTGCTACAGCCGGTACATTTTTAAGTTAGATGAGATGTCAAAAAGCAGCCTCGGCAGTGAAGACCTATAAACTATGGTGAAGAGAAAACAGGACAGCATTAAGTGGTATTTCATGATGGTGAAGGAAGGATGCAAGAAACCCTCCCTTTTTTCCCCACCAGTTGACACATTCCAGGTCCACGAGAGATCAGGTTCAGGCTGGCCCCCAAAGTTTTAACAAAACAAATTTAAATAAAACCAATCGGAGGGTGCTCATTAGGCTATTAGAATAAGCCGACCATAAACACAGGATGTA